GTCTTTTTTTTTTTTTTTTTAGTTTTATTCATTTCAAACGGGCTGGATCCGGCCCGCGGGCCGTAGTTTGCCCACGGCTGCATATAGACTGAAGGACGATGGGTTTGATTCCGGTGAAGAGCGCATACCTCAGTTACAGGCTAGATCTCCGGTGCATGCTAGAGGCAACCAACTGAAGTCGCTATTCCATTAGAAGTATATACTACCACCTCTGTGGTGGTTACCAGAGGGAAAGGGAGTCAAATATATGGTGACAGAAGGAGATCTGACTTTGGGTGGTGAGTACACAATGCAATATACATATGATGTATTACAGAATTTGTAAACTTGGAACCTATATAATTAACTAATGTCACCTCAATAAATGTATTTTTAAAATTTAAAAAAAGAAGAAAAAAACAGGCCTTCCTGGATCCTGATTTAAACCAACCATACATTTTTTTTTGTTTTTCTTTATTTTTAATCCTCACCCGAGGATATTTTTCCATTGATTTTTCAGAGAGAGAGAGTGGGAGAGAGAGGGAAAGACAGAGAGAAATATTGATGTGAGAGAAACACATCAATTAGTTGCCTCCTGCACGAGCCCGACTAGGGCTCAGGCCAGGGAGGAGCCTGCAACTGAGGTATATGCCTTTGACCAGAATGGAATCAGGACCCTTTGGTCCGCCAATCATACATTTTTTTAAAATATATACTCTTATTAATTTTAGAAAGAGAGTAAGGGAGAGAGAGAAAGAGAAGGAGAGAGAGAAGAGAGGAGGGAGGGAGGGGGAGAGAGGGAGAGGTGGTTGAGAAACATTGATCAGTGGCCTCCTGCATGCCACCTACTGGGGATCGAGCCCACAACCTGGGGCTATGCCTTGACTGAGAATAGAACTGGCAACCTTTCAGTGCACGGGACAATGCCCAACCAACTGAGTGACACTGGCCAGGGCTCAATGATACTTTTTTTTAAAAGAAACATTTATAGGACTATCAGCAGAAATGTGAACACTGATTGCATATTTGATATCATAAAGGAATGGTGGTATCATCATTATCTTTAAAAGGAGAGTTATCTGCCCTAACCGGTTTGGCTCAGTGGAGAGAGCATAAGCCTGCAGACTGAAGGGTCCCAGGTTCGACTCTGGTCAAGGGCATGAACCTTGGTAACGGGCACATCCCCAGTAGGGGGTGTGCAGGAGGCAGCTGATCGATGTTTCTCTCTCATCTATGTTTCTAATTCTCTAACCCTCTCCCTTTCTCTCTGTAAAAAATCAGTAAAATATATTTAAAAATAATAATAATAATAATAAAATAAAAGGAGAGTTATCTTTTAGAGATACTGAAATCTTTATAGATGAAATAATATGTCTGGGATTCACTTCAAAATAATCAGGGTGAGATACACAGAAGAATTATGAATTGGCCATGAATTGATCATTGTTAAAGCTGGATAATGGTTACCTGGGAATTCACCATGCTAGTTTCTCTACTTTTGTATGTTTGAAATTTTCCATTAAACAGTTTATTTATTTATTTTAAACATATTTTTACCGATTTCAGGGAGAAAGAGAGAAAGACAGAAACATCAATGATGAAAGAAAATCATTGATCGGCAAACCTCCTGCATGCCCCACATTGGAGATCAAATGCACAACCCAAGCATGTGCCCTGACCAGGAATTGAACCATGACCTCCTGGTTCATAGGTTAACACTCAACCACTGAGCACGCCGGGTGGGAAAATAGTTTAAAAAATTCCTGGAACATCCGAAATTTTTAATAAATTTAAACCTTATCACCCAGAGCTGATTTTATCTCAGAAATTATATAACCTTAATATTCAAATCTCTAGTCTCTGCATATTCTTCCATGTCATGCCCTCACTTTCTTGAACTCAAGAGTGACTTTCAGCTTATAGATTCCACCATTTTCTCCCAATCTCTCAATTTCCTATGAATACTCAAGTCACAACAAATAAGTGATTAAAGCTTTGAACTGCAATTGACTTTTCTGTATACATAGTAGGCAAATTAGAGATGCTGAGTTTGGGGACACAACTATACAGATGGATTCTCTACAAAGTCATGGTCCACCACAAGTGGAATCTTTGCATTTATCAATCTTTTACTTAAGTTTACTCAGCTGCATTCTCCCAAGCACTCACCATTTCTTCTTAGGTCTCCTTACTCAACCACAAAAGCTATAACCAAGTACTCCAAAGAGAACACTACAATTTTTAATGTATTTGTATTTATGTGTTTCTTTACAGGTAATCTGTTATATTACAACCCTCACATACCTGTTAAAATAAAATTCATTAACAAAAAGATTTTAGCAAACCTTCCTATAAACCAGCAAAGTTGAATGTTATTAAAACTTACTATTAACGGCAATCCATTCATTGAGATCCTCTCCCTCTGGCAACATAACAGCTTGTCTCAGATTCCCACTTCCTAGAGTTGCTTCTGCATGTTTTAAGAGTTCATATTGATGAGACCCTTCAGGGATATTCTTCTTTGGTTTGAATGTTTTAGAAGAGCGGCTGCTGCTGTTAGATTAAAAGAAAGTATATAAATTTTTGGGACTAGAAAGAAGCAGAATGGCATAATTTTAATGGCATAATATAAATTGTAAAATAAAATAAAAAATATTTCCTGAAAAGTGCCAGGATTTGGGGGTAGAGGGAGATGATCATAATAAAAAGAATGCTTTAAATTTCTTTCCTCATGTAGAAACAGTATTAGCAGCACAATGTCACATAGAAGGCAATTTAACTATGCCTCCTGAAGCAGTCTGGTGTAATAGAAAGGGCACTTGAACCAAAAAAAGAAAAAACCTGGATGCTAGTCCTTGATCTGCCACTATCTCTGTGGATGCTTGAGAAACCTAACCTCCCTTTGGCCTCAATTTCCACCTACACAAAATGGTGCTGCGAGGGAAGTAGCCCTAAGGTTCTAATAGCTCAAAAAGTTTCTATACCAAAATATTTGGGATGCCATCAAAGCAAACCACAGGGGAAGCAACACATTTTTTGAAGTTTTAAGCAGAAAAAGTAAATGAGAGAGAGACAACTGGTTATTGGAGGGGAAAGTAAGTGTTTATTCCTATCTCACACCATCCACAAGGAAGGTCTTCCTAACATGTCACAAAACCCAAAACCTTAAATGGATGAATTTCAAATTATAATAATTAAAATTCAGTAACAGAGCAAAAAGATAAGTAACCAAAAAAAGTACTTGCAATATATGTATTACAAAAGATAATCTGGATTAATAATGGGCTTCCATAATCTGTTAAGAAAAAGGTAAGGTACCCTTTAGAGCAGTGGTTCTCAACCTTGCCTGCACATTAGAATCACCTGGGAATCTTTTTAAAATCATGATTTCTGGGCCTCATCCTCTGGAAATTCTGTTTCTTTGTTACTAATATTGTGGCCCCATCCCATAACAAAGAAACAGAATTTTCAGAGGATGAGGCCCAGGAATCAGGATTTTAAAAAGATTCCCAGGTGATTCTAATGTGCAGCCATGGTTGAGAACCCCTGCTTTAGAGAAATGAGATGAATAGGCAATTCAGAAGGAAAACTACAAAGAACAATGAACATCTGAAAAACTATTTAATTAAAATAAGATATTTCCTTAAACTGAGTGTCAAACGTGAAAACAATTACCTTAAGTGTGGTATAGAGAAATTAGTGCTTTAATACAGCACTGGCGAAAGGGTAAAGTGTTTGGGAGGGCAATATGGCAGTATCTGTTAACACTGAAATGTTCCTCAATCCATCCCTTCCACTAAGTATCTCTCTTAGATATGGTAAGAATGTGTACTCCAAGATTGTTTGTAACAGTGAAAAATCTGGAAACAATTGTAAGGCTAATTAGAAGAATGAACAAACTATGATACATCTGTTTCATGGAGTATTGCATTGTAGTTAAGAACAAGATACAAGGACAAGATAGAGAGCTACATGTATTTACTTGAAAAGATCTCAAACATGGTTAAAACAAAACCAAATAAACAGCAGGAACCCATTTTGTAAATGTACAGAAAGGATACAAATCAAATTGATCGTGGTGATTACTTACTTCTAAGAAGGGGAAAGGAATAAACTGTGGGCTTTCCTTTTACCCCAGTAATTTGAATTTTTTTTTTAAATATATATTTTATTGAGTTTTTACAGAGAGGAAGGAAGAGAGATAGTTAGAAACATCGATCAGCCGCCTCCCGCACACCTCCCACCGGGGATGTGCCCGCAACCCAGGTACATGCCCCTGACCGGGATCGAACCCGGGACCCCTCAGTCCGCAGGCCGACGCTCCATCCACTGAGCCAAACCGGCCTCGGCCAGTAATTTGAATTTTAAATAAGATTAAGAAGTAAAATGAATTATAAAAACACTAAATTCAAATATGGAAAGTTTTTCAACGTGGTAAACACCTATATTTATTAGGGGAGTACTAAATTACAAGGAATTGCCTTTTATATCTAGAAAACCTGTGAATGACAGAAAACTAAATTTGTAAGGCATAGAATGATGGCTCCATATTCAAATATTATCATCATCTAAATCGTGATTCAAATGACACCAAGACAGTGAAAAAGAATCCACAAAACGGGAGAAAATATTTGCAAATCATAGATGTGATAAGTGAGTGACTTGTATCAAGGATAAAGAATCCTTACAACTCAAAAATAAAGAGAGAACCCAATTTTTTAAAAAGGCCAAAAGTTGTCAACTATAATTAAAAATATTTTAAAAGAAAATGGATCAGAAGCTCTGAATAGACATTTCTCCAAACAAAAAATATACAAATGGCCAATAAGCACACGAAAGGCTGCTCAACCTTCTTAGTCATTAGGGAAAGGCAAATTAAAACCACAGTGAGATGCCATTTCACACCCACAGAGGATGGTTATAATAAAAAAAGACGAGAGCGAGAGATATCCTCAAAAGATTAAACCTAATTGCCGTGGAGCTCAGTAATCCCTCGCTCAGGTAGAACACCCAAGAGAAATGAACACACCAACACAAAAATGTGTCCAGTACGTAAAAGTTCACAGCATTATTCGTAAAAACCCCAAAAGGTGGAAGCTCAGATACCCATCAACAAAACAAAGTTCAGGAGAAATACAGAGCCTCGCGTTGACATCCAAAAGCAACTAGGCAACGTGCACACACAAACCAACCGCTAAATAAACATGGACTCGCAAGAGAAAGACTTGGGGGAGAGATGGTTCCAGTAACACAGGAATTGCAATGAAAATCTAAACCCTACAGACTTCCTGACCTGATAATCATACTCTGAAGACTCTATACCCTTAACACGACAACCCGGAGGGGGAAAGCGACCTGGACCAAGGCATTCCCAGTGCTGTAGTCCCATTTTATAAATAGCGAAGGAACCCTCATTTCTCACGATAAGGAACTAGTTAGAACTAGTTAATCTGTTAGATGCACTCTGGTTATGAAACACCACGCAATTCTGAATTTTAATAAAAATGTCAAGTATGTGGGTGATGTCTGTAACGAAAAATAGGTCTTTAGTCATTCAGACGACACACATGCAAGCAATGCGCTGCGAGGAGGGAGCCACCTGAGCAGAATCAACAAGACGCCGGCGCAGTGCTTCTCGCGCGGCAGCACCGCACGTTTTCCGGGCGGCGTTTTTCCTCGGGGTTTTTCTAACACCGACGGTAACGGAACTGGACCAGCGGCGGAGTAAACGCTCCGTCAGCTCGGATCCTCGGAGGAGCTCCGGGCTCCGCCCCCAGGTCGCCCCGTCGCCCTCGGGGCCGCTCGGGCGGAAAAGTTTGGAGGCGCTATGGCCCTGGGGCCTTTCTACTCCTCGGTCTCTTCGCTCCGCTCCCTCGGCGTCGACTTTCCCTCTCCGTCTGCCTCGGCCCACGTCCTAGCCTCCTCCCGGGGACCCTAAACCGGAGCAAACCCAGCGCCGACCACCCCGACCCCGGGGCCGGCCCTCACCTCAGGCGCCCCCTCTCCCCTTCGCCGCCCTCCGCCCTCAGCCCCGAACCGCGGCCCGACTGCACTCACAAGAGGAAGCTCATCTTCTGTCCTCAGAGGGGAGGGGAGGGGCCGCTGGCCCCCGTCGCAGTCGGGACTCGGAGCCCGCACGGGAACCGGAGAGGTAGCAGATAGGCCTCAGCCCGCCGACAGCGGAAGCACTGGCCGCCGCTGCTCCGAGCCGGGGTCGAGCCAGTATAAGCGGGTGCAAGCTGCGGCGTCCACCTCACCCGCCTCCCCCACCTAGCGGAGAGGAAATGCGGAACCAGCCTAATCTCGCGAGAAAAGCGTGCTCTCTGCCCCGCCCCGCCCCCAGCTGAGCGTTACACGCCCCGCCCTCTTTACAGATCACCCAATCACCAGCCCCCGGGCCTGGACTTTCCTTTCCTGGGAGGCGTGGTCGTGTTGCGGTGCGAGGCCACCGAGAGGGGCAGGCCTTGTATTTGACTCAGCTTGTTGCTGTTGGTTTAAGTTCCCTAGGTAGCGTGGGGACTCTAAAAGTTTTAATTTTATTTTTAAACTAGAGGCTCAGTGCACAAAAATTTGTGCACTGGGGGCAGGGGGGGTCTCTCAGCCCGGCCTGTGCCCTCTCCCAGTCTGGGACCCCTCGGGAGATAACCTGCTGGCTTAGGCCTGCTTCCGGGTGGCAGAGGGCAGGCCCAATCCCTAGGTGCAGCCCTGGTTGGGCTCAGAGCCGGGCTGATTGGGGAGTTGGGGCACCACCACTTGTCATTTC